TCACGCCTACTGCTTCAGTGACTCCATCCAGCCACCTCATTCTCTGTCGTCCCCTTCTTCTATTGCCCTCAATCTTTCCCAGCATTAGGCCCTTCTCCAGTGAGTCCTTCCTTCTCATTAGGTGGCCAAAGTATTTGAGTTTCAACTTCAGGATCTGGCCTTCTAAAGAGCAGTCAGGGTTGATCTAGGGTGGCTTTATTTGAAGTTTTTAAGATTACCTAATATATCTGCAAATTCTCTCTAGGAATATTGTGTCTACAGTAAATCTTGGTTGCAAACTTGACCTAAAAACCATTGCCCTTCGTGCTCGTAATGCTGAATACAATCCCAAGGTAAGATATAATGGAGAGATAACAACTAATCTTGATTAATCAGTGATGATTGTTTGCTATTTTTGCTTCTGATAGCTCACGTGACTTGCTTCAGTTACTGCAAAGGAGATTTCTGAGTATGCTTTTTAAATGTAGCCAAGAAAAAGATCTTTGTGGCTGCAGTAATAGCCTTAAAGAACAATGCCACTATGTCAAGCCATTTTATAGTAAAAACTTTGCAAATCTTTTTGTAAAGTATGAAATAACTTATTTCAATGCTTTTGAAAGTATTTTAGATTTACTCTGTTTTGTTTGCAAAAGAGTTTTTGAGCTCCAAAATTCCCCTAGAATGCTCAGAGCTTCCCATTTTATTTTGGAATTTCACGAGGGTCCATGCTTGAAATGGTTCATATTTTAAATTTTGTACACCACTACATATGTCCGGTCATTTTAAGGCTTGCTATATAACCATATAATCATTTGTTGTGATATATGGTAGTTTTGATAAAATAAAAGATAACATTTGACAGCACTAGTAGATCCCATCTCTAGTTGGCCATAAAGAATGGTTTACAAAGCTGGCTGGGTTCATACCTCATGCCAAGCAACCTACATTGTGACTTTGCCTTCTGGTAGTAATTGTGGGATGAAGATCTTGTTAACTGTTTTGTAAAAGAAGGCATAGGAACAAGGGCAAAGCTTTGCAATTAAACAAAAGTTTTGCAAAGAAATGAAGTATTACATGAAAACAAGAAGCAATTGTTTTCACTTAAGCATTCCTAAAGCAGTCTCTTCTAGAATTAATTTGATGAAAAAGTACTGTCTATTCTACTTGAATTCAACTTAGACATGACCCTCAAACCAAATTTATTCCAATGTTTTGGCTATCAAAGAAGTTTGAGAAATGTCTTTTCCATAAACAAACAAAGGTAACTAATATAATTATTATATGATACATTACATTGTATTTGTAATTGTAGATGTTTTAATATTTTTTTGAAGTGAAGAATGGAGATTAGTGCAACTTCAACTTACTAATGTACGTTTAGATATTTGTTGTTATTGTTGTTGTTGTAAAAGTGTTCTTCTTGTTTCAGCGTTTTGCTGCTGTAATTATGAGAATACGAGAGCCACGTACCACAGCCCTCATATTCAGCTCTGGAAAAATGGTGTGCACGGGAGCTAAAAGGTATGCAAGCCCAAGCCGAAGCAATTATCTACAGCCATTTAACTTATTAGCATTTGGCCCAACAGATATGGTCATTTGACACAGGTACTCTGATAAAAGCCAGCTAATAGGTATGTAATTTACAAACTGTGTATATCATTCAGAGTTTCCTTGATGAAATAACAACGCATCTTATACTTTTTCAGTGAAGAGCAGTCCAGGCTGGCTGCGAGAAAGTATGCTAGAGTTGTACAGAAGTTGGGCTTTCCTGCAAAATTCTTGGATTTTAAAATTCAAAATATGGTTGGCAGTTGTGATGTAAAATTCCCTATCAGACTTGAGGGATTGGTTCTTACACATCAACAGTTTAGCAGGTAGGCCAAAAAATGATGTTATCTTAAATGTGTATTAAAAATACTTTTTTATTTTGTGTTTCTCAGTTTTATTTACTCATAGTTTTTTGGAGTCATTTATGTACTTTCTCTGAATGCAAAAGAGGGACAGCCGTAGGCAATTCTGATGTATCTGTGATGTATAGGTAATTTCAAACTATTTTAAATCTGTATAGTTCTTTAATATTCTGTGTTTGATTCTTCAATACTGAAACAAAAAAGCTTTTTTATTTAAACAAAAATCGATTATCTGTTGATATGTATTGGTGTAATTTAAATCCTTAAGAATAGTAAGATACGATACATTGCTAATTGAGAGCTCTAAAAGTGAAATCTGAATTTCACACTAGCCCAGCATCTTTAAAATGTTCTTGGCCTTACAGTGTAGAATTGTTCAATAATTCTTATGTGCAGTCTTGTATATATTTTACCTGAAAGTTTTGTGTATATACCCACTTGAGGAATTAGCACTAATAATGAAAAGTACAGATAGGCCCTGGGGGTACATAAAACATGACTTAGTATCATCTCAGCTTAATCAACGTGTGGCAGAAGAAAAAATGCATGTCTGTTCCTCAGCAAATACTTTACATTTTACTTATATTGAACTTTTCTTTCAGTTATGAACCAGAATTGTTTCCTGGTTTAATCTACAGAATGATCAAACCAAGAATTGTACTACTCATATTTGTTTCTGGAAAGGTAGTTTTAACTGGTAAGCCATATTTGAAATTACTGCACTGACTATAGCAAACTGAAAGATACCCCAAAAATATTTCAAATAGCTAATTAACAAATACAAATATATCGATGCATTGGTTTGTTCCTTTTTTGTACTTTATTATAATATACTGTTTGGGTGCATTTTATACCCAAATATTTTTATTTGTCCTGTAGTGTTAACATGTTGCAGCAATTAAATGTGTTAATGTGCCTTTAAAGCCCCCCAGAAAATACAGTTGGTACACAATGCAGCCATGTCATGTGCTGCTGGATGCAGTGAACACACTATTCCTGTGCTGCAGGCCCAGCCGTGGCTGCCTGTAAGTTTCCGGGTGCAATTTAGAATGCAAGTTTTGTCTGATGAAGTCCTATATGACTTGGTGCTGCAGGACCTGTAGGACTGCCTCTTTCAACAGAATCCGATTGTTAGTAGCTCCCTGTTACTATGGAATGGAGGAGGAAATGCTTTTCTACTACGGCTTCTGTTATGTCGAATAGACTTCCATTATCTGGTGGCCTTCGGGAAGCAGGTTAAAAACTCTTCCAGAGGGCTTTTTAACTAGTGCCATAGGAATTGTTCATATATTGCTCCAGTTTTAAATAAATAAAACTAACCAAAGAGAGAAGCAACCTAGAACTAAAGAGAAACTTCCTGACAGAACAATTAATCAGTGAAACAACCTGCCTCCAGAGGCTGTGAATGCTCCAACACTGGAAGTCTTTAAGAAGAGATTGGACAGACATTTGTGCAAAATGGTATAGGGTTTCCTGCCTGAGCAGGGGGTGGACTAGATGACCTCCAAGGTCCCTTTCAACTTTATTATTATTATTAAATGTTAAGTATTATTTTATCACCAGATAGTGATGACGAGGGCATGGGTTACTGCCAAAGGTTACTGTCACAAGGTCCTCCTATGAAGTCCAGATTAAGACTGGTCTACCAGCTGAGCAATAGCTCTATGAATTCAATGCACTGGTTTGAATTATGAGCAATTTCCACATACACAATTTGTTAACACTTTCTTAAGAAAATTAGGAAACTAATGATACAGAATCTCTGTAGCATGTACATAGTGGTTAAATATATTCCTTTCTTTGTAGGTGCAAAAGTCAGAGGTGAAATTTATGAAGCATTTGAAAATATTTATCCTATTTTAAAAGGATTCAGAAAAACAACGTAACAGTTCCGTGTGCTTATTCATGAAGCTGGAGTACATTTTTAAAGGTATTAATTATGGCACAGTAATAACACACACATCAGGACTTGGAATTCATCTTCCCAGATAGTGCCTCTTTCCCTGTTTTTCACGGGAAGGGAACATATCACTGTGCGTTTCGTCTGCACTAAGTTACTGTGCATTGCTTTTCCGTGTTCTCACACAAGAAAAACAGTTTATTTATATTTCTGGCTCTTAAAACGGCTAATTTTTAAAATCTGAGAGTCTTATGCTGGCAAGCTGGCTAAACTGTATTATCCAACATTTAAAAACCCGGCGTTACAGTATTCTTTCAACCATGGATTTTATAATCAGAAATGTTAATTTTATGCTTTTAGACCTACTTCCACATTCCCTACATTTCCAGTGTTCAGCAGGACAGAAACTTTGCTAGTGAAGACAAATGGCTGTACATATTTCTCATTTTGTGAAGCAATTCTAAATGTATAATTACTTGACTAAATAATTTGAATAGTAAAATTTGTGGTCAATCTTTGCTTTTGCTGTTTTAATGTGCTAACTGCATGCATATAGCTAAAATAACTTGATTTTTATAAGATTTTTATTAACAATCCCAGTATTAAAGTAATGTTATTTGAAATGTTCAAAGTTATTTTTGTGTTGTTTCTTAGTAGTGTCTTAGTTTGAGGTCTTTATCTCAAAGAGGACTTACAGCTACAGTATAACAGTTTTTCCCTCCAGTATTAAGAGGAAGAATGATAGAAATAGCTTTCTGTCTCCAATTGGTTCTTTCCACTAGCAGAAAAAAAAGAACATGAAGCAGACCAGGTGTTGTACCAGAAGGGAACATGAATTCTGTATATCCAAAGCCCTCATGTCAACTTATCCCACTCACACTACTGTATTCCTATTAGGTTGGAGTGGAGAGGGATTTATACATATTTAAGTGCCAAATAAAAAAGCATTTCTTCCTCATCCGTCCCCTATAAAACAAGCAGGTGAATTTCAGATATAATTTCTCTTCAAATTCCTTCCTTCTTTCTTTCCTTCCTTCCTTCCTATTTATGGTCAATTCCTGTAGAAGAGGTTGAGCCATTCAATGCCAAAATGACAAGACTTTACCTCCATCCTATTGTTTTCAGTGTAAATTGATCTAAAATTTCAATAAACCATAATGAGTGATGTCAGACCACAGCCAATAAAAAGAATAGGACATACTGTATTCAGAAATATACATAGCTTATTTTCCATTTTTATTGAAATACATTGTAAATCATCATTGAAACTTAGAACTCAAAATTAAAGTTTCCTATCTATTTGTACTTCAAGACTCATTCCACTGGTTTATTTCCACTGCAATGACAAATAGCCATTATTCATTTTGTGAATTGTCAACTAATTTCTTAATGAAAACAATCTTTTCCAACAGGATGAATGTGAAAATTCTAGATTCTTGAATGAGTGAACGTCTTCTCAAATATGAATGGCATATTCCAGCCAACATACTGAAGAGTATTTTTTAAAAATGTGCTTCATTTGCCTTTTTACTAAACTGTGTTTCAAGGATGCTAATCTTTTATTTCAATTTCTCATCAAAGAAACTAAAGAATCGGTGCCTGGATGGGATGATCCCACTATAGTTCCATAGTTATATAACGGAATAAACTATACATTCCGTGTTTCTAATTCCATTCCACACCTGGTTTTGCCAAAACTTTCCTGGTTTGTTAAATTATATTTCAAAGTAGTTAGTCCTTTGAACCAGACTATAACCAAAATAAGCACAATGAAGAATAAGTGACGAGGATCTCTCCCATAAAGCAACCAATGGTAACACAAGAGCAAATTCACCTAAAGCATATTCAGACAGGCTCTTAAGATCCTTTACCAAGGGTGGCAATGGGAAAGGTTTCAGGAATGGGTGGAGGAAAATAAACAGTGGAAACAATTTATCACTTGATTCTTTACTATAGTGAATGTATCATGTCTATCATGATTTGATTTTTTTTCATTTCAAAGTTCTAGCAAAATAATCACCTCTCTGGTCTCAGATTGATTTTATATTCTTATTCTATAACTGATGTGGAAGTTGAAGCAATGGCGATCATTGTTATCAGTTGAATATTAAAAAAGGTGAGAAAAATTTATGATAACGGAAGAAACTTATCTCACTGCTTAAGCTTTGCAGACATTAAACAGAATTGGAAATGTCCTGCTTCCAGATGAACTCTTCAACATAGTGGTTTCCTAGATCACAATTCACAGCACATGTGTAGATAGCCAGTGTTCCCCAGTCAATACTTTCTCCAAGACTGTCGACATTTAAGTGAGCTAGAAGTTGCGGCATCACCTTAAACAGACAAAATACTTAAAGTGAGCTTTTAAAACTAAGTGGTCAAATCACTTTAATCCATAACCAGAAAGAAATATATTACTGTATTATCAATTTTTAAAACATCCAAGAGAAAAATAGGCAAACAGAGAAATTGTGTTAAAAAGAAGCTTTATGGTCTTTAATGTGCAGTTTTGCAAACATCCATACCTGGAATTCAAATACTCTTTTACTACCACACTGACAGTTAGGAATATCTGTGTCTCGAGGAATATTTAACCCTGAAATCCAGATGGGCCCATCTCCATTTCTGCAGTATCTGATCACCTGAAATTCAAGAAGAATCAGAATTGAAAATAAAATTATGTAGATTTTGTAGGAGTATATATCATATGAACTAAGAGATTATTCTTCTCTCGTTCATTTGAGAAAAGTATCTTTTATTAAATGCCCATTTATATGTACCATGTAATTACTTATGGTGCAAGTTTGTATGAAGCATGCTTCCATTAAAGTAATTAACATCTTGTAGTTTTCCCCCAAACCTGCCCTAGTTTCTAAGGCATTGTAAAGGGTTAATAAGTGCATCACTCCCTTGCATTCTATCCTTCTATGTGCATGGCTTAACAATCATGTGAATATGGAACCTTTGCTATTTATCTATCTATAAAAGCCATACTTTGAAACCAACGCTTTTGGGCTTCAGAGTCCAATTTCGGTAAATGGAAATGACAACCAGCCCAAGATTACATGATTCACATGACTTCCTTTCTTGGTTAAGATATAATTGAAGGATGAAGCACTCCTTTGTTGACTTTTCACATTGATTTAGCATGTTGTGAATATGGTCTTTGTCTTACTAGTATTTCCATGCAAAACAGTATTAATGGATCAATTCCCAACATCCAATTCTTTTAGTCAGGTTTCGTTTAATTTGTTGCTAATCTCCGTCTAATCATTTTGGTAGCATGAAGTAGAAAATGAATTCAAAGTGACAAAATTCTGGGCTGGATTATTAATATCCCATTCCCATAGTAATAAACCAGTATAAAACATTAATGGACATGAAAAATACATTTAAAAGACCTGTTCTGGTTCCAAAGATATCCTTTCTTTGAATATTTGAAAAATTCTATCTTCCTGAGTTTCATGTTTTGCCATCATCTCCAAGGACATCTCGTCTAATAATTCAGAAGCTTCATCTGGGGGGAAAAAAACCATACAGTAATTAAATTGTAAGACTGCAATTTATAAAAAAAGGGTTTTGGCTTAAGTCTCTCAGGGATGAATCAGTATTCATGAAATTTGATTTAAAAAATATCAATAAAAAATATTGTGTCCCTCTTAGAAGTGTGCAAAAAAGGGGGAGAGAATGAGATCTGCATTATGGAGGGCAAGACCGCAAATTGATGTTACAAGAGTTTCCTCTTTTCATCTGAATTGGGATAGGAGAATTTGGTGGTATTTTTTTTAAACAAATCCATCTTACAGCTTCTGTTACAGTGCTATGTACTTTCAATGTCAAAATGAGAGGAAAACGAACCAGATGTTTTTAGCAATTACATGCCAATACAGTTCTGATGCAACATACTTATGTGTCTGAAACTAACTGTTTCAAGCAAAGTCTAAGTTAAAAACTTCGGAAAAAAGCTGTCATTTGGAAGCTAGGGGGCAGATCTATACATTCTTTAATGCAAGATATATTTCAATTTAAAATAAATGCTAATTTAAGAAACAGCCTTGAAATATGGGCATTCATTCATAATTCTTACCTAGATTACCTGTTGTTGTATCCTCAATTTTGTCTAAATCTTCCTGCTCTGTGTCACTGACAGCAGCAGAATCCAACTCCTCATGTTCTCTTACAATTTCATACTCGGGGAACAGAAATTTATGATCCGGAATTACATCTTCTATAAAACAAGAAGCCAGTATCTTCATTTACTTTCTCCTAGATTTTATTATTACACATTTGTCAGAGAGTGGAGAAAAGGCAGGAACTTTCCAGACAATCCCCATTCTCTATTTACAATGATATTGACTATATACTGTGGCTTTATTTTAACTGCACAGTTACAGCCTTAAACAAAAAATTTCAAATGGATTCTTTCACATTATCTATTCCACTCCCTCTCCCAGCTACTTTTTGTGTTTTCACTTATGGACTCATTTGTATCTCAGGGAAGTTAATGAGAACGGGGGGAAAAACTTGATTCTAGCATCTTTGTCAAGCTGTCCTTGCTGGCAACTAATCTGTTCTCCAAAAATGACAATCCTTTTCACCAAATAGTTTGTTTCTCAGTTCTCTCTGAGTCCTGCTTACTCCTGCTGGGTCTCCTCCTCCCTGACATGTATAGAACTGTCAGTCCACACCATGTAATAATAATACTAATAATAATAATAATACTAATACTAATAATAATAATAATACTAATAATAATAATAATAAAGTTGGAAGGGACCTTGGAGGTCATCTAATCCAACCCCCTGCTCAGGCAGGAAATCCTATACCATTTCAGACAAATGGCTGTCCAGTCTCTACTTAAAAACTTCCAGTGTTGGAGCATTCACTGCTTCTGGAGGCAGGTTGTTCCACTGGTTAATTGTTCTGTCAGGAAGTTTTTCCTTAGTTCTAGGTTGCTTCTCTCCTTGATTAGTTTCCATCCGTTGCTTCTTGTCCTGCCTTCAGGCACTTTGGAAAATAGCTTGACTCCCTCTTCTTTGTGACAGCCCCTGAGATATTGGAACACTGCTATCATGTCCCCCCTCGTCCTTCTCTTCGTTAAACTAGACCAGTGGTGGCGAACCTGTGGCACGGGTGCCAGAGGCGGCACTCAGAGCCCTCTCTGTGGGCACGCGCTCCGTCGCCCCAGTCCTAGGCCTTCAGCTGGGTTTTATAAAACCTTTTCGCTTTAGGCCTCCACTGCCATGTGCAAAAAAAAAAAGGTTCAATCAATCAGTCAATTTCAACTTCTCGCGGGGAAAAAAAAGATCTTGCAAAGTTGGAATTGATTGATTGAACTTTTTAGTCCCACCCTGTCTGCCGTTACCACCACAGCCATGCCCACCCAATGGGCCACGCCCACCCGGCACCCGACAATACATAAGTGGGTTTTAGGTTGCAGTTTGGGCACTTGGTCTCTAAAAGGTTCGCCATCACTGAACTAGACATACCCAATTCCAGCAGCCATTCCTTATGTGTTTTAGCCTCCAGTCCCCTAATCATCTTTGTTGCTCTTCTCTGTACTTTATTTCTAGAGTCTCAACATCTTTTTTACATCGCGGTGACCAAAACTGGATGCAGTATTCCAAGTGTGGCCTTACCAAGGCATTGTAAAGTGGTATTAATACTTCACGTGATCTTGATTCTATCCCTCTGTTAATGCAGCCTAGCACTGTGTTGGCTTTTTTGGCAGCTGCAGCACACTGCTGGCTCATATTTAAGTGATGTTCAACAATATCCTCCTCCTCTTCTGCTCTTTTATTTGGTTAGAATTAGGAGACAGATGTTTTAATTAAGGATGATGTTTCTTGGTGCCTGTGGTGGTGGTGGGGAAACCCTTTAACTCTGACACCACTGCATTATCTCACATCCATCAGGGCAACTCTCCCTGACACAAATATACCTTTGTGGGGTTGTGAAACAAATCTTAAAATTACTAGACAGCAAATGTGGATTACACTCAGAACTGTACTAAGCCAAATGTGGTTTATTTGCCTCCGATATGGTACATATGACCCTTATATCTTAAAAATGATGACTTCTGCCCTAGAGTGATGTATGAACCAAATCAAGCAACCCAAAAAAGCCCCACAGTATATATATTTAATTGAACAATGGATTTATGTTTTAAAGAATGAAGATAGGTCCAAAAAACTTCAAAGCAAACTACCATTTTGGCTAAAGCTCCCAAATGAACAACCAGAGGGCATAATTGGGGTAGCAGAAAATAGGGCCCCATAGCATAGCAGGGCCAACTGGAGTTGACAATGCTAAAACTAGCATTTTTGCTTTTTTTAAAAAAAATAAACATGTTACTGTAAACAAAATATTTATAAAACCACTAGTTAAGCCATTAGCTAGAAATGTAGATAACTCTTCATTATTTTTCTCCAGAAATCTTTATTTTAAAGAATTTGTGCTTATTCTAAGAAAGATACCAACAGACGGTATTAAAAAGACATTGCCATATAAAATTATTAATCCACTTCCAATTCTTTACAATTAGCATAGAAAATAAACTCTCTTAGAATCAAGAGTGCTAATGCACACAAATCAAAGGACTATATATCTTCCAACATACATTCTTATATTTATTATATTCTATAATATTATTTTGGTGAGCTCTTACAATTCAAGAGTATTTCTAGCTACCTACCAGGCTGCAAGCATGATACGTTATGTCCTGCTTTCCAATCTTTGATCTGATGGTCTTTGCTACAATAATGAGCCTTATGACATTTGGAACATGTGCTGGGTCCCAAGCAACCACAGACTCTGCAAAGCATAGCTCCACATTTTAGCTGCAGATTCACAGAAGGTAATTCTTCCAAAGGTGGTTCTTCAGGCGGTGGATTATAAGAGTAAGTATTATTCTTTCTTGGAAGTTGGTTCCTAAAAACTTAAATGAGAAAAAAAATATCATCTAACAAATGAATACAGTACAACATACTACTCTTATGTCATTCTAGTTTAGTCTCTGCCCACACTGTGCCAAAACAGAACACTGAGGTGCCATGGGATTAACATTTGTGCATTCTAAGACCATTTAATTTTTGAAGGCCCTATAGAAAAAATGTCAAGAGTGTAGTATAATAGAATAGGCAGCATATAAATGAAATGTTTAGAAGGCGAGATCTGTATCATGGCTGGTGAAAACCTGGGGAGAGCCATCTGGATAAGGGAAGCTGTGCATTCTTTGAGGAGCTGGCCAAAATTCTTGGTAAACAATTCAAAGGAAGCAAGCTGTGGATGCTCCACTGCTTAAGAAAGTCTGGGCAGCTCACAGGACATGTGATCATGCTCCTTTATAAAGGAGTTGCTAGGTGGCACTTCAAAGAACTTTAAAACTTAAGACGTATCAGCTGCTCTTTTTTTGCTCTTTCAGATGTTCAATATATAACCAAGACATACTTTCACACAATTATTTAAAGTATTTACATATTGGTCTCTGCAGTGTAGTTATATTCCAAGGCAACAGTTTTATGGGTGCTTAACTTTTAATATCACAACCTGTGTCCCATTCCAGACAATTCACTTCTGGGAAGGCAGGCAAAGTGAAATGGTCTGGGAGAAAAATCAATGATCCAGAGTGTTTAGAAATCCCCTCTACAATGGGCTCATTTCTATAAACCTGAATTAGTAAACATTTATGAATTAACCCCAAAAGAGATCATGATAATGTACTGTTGCACCTGAGGAATTGCAGTGGTCTCCTTTAATATGCTCATATTGATCTACATCAATAGGCTACACACTGGAGTTCAGAAAAAAAGCCATGTTTTATTAGAAAAAAGGGCCATAAGTGGTAGAAATGCGTTGCATATAAAAGGTCCGCTGTTAATCTCTGAGCACAGAAGGTGCGAGTCCCCAATGTGAGGAGTGCTCCATCAATGGAGATTTTTCAAAAAAGAGGTTGAATCACCTTCTGTCTGAAATGGTATAGGGCAGGGGTAGGCAACCTTGGCTCTTTTATGACTTGTGCTGGCTCAGGAATTCTGGGAGTTGAAGTCCACAAGTCATAAAAGAGCCAAAGTTGCGTACCCCTCATATAGGGTCTCCTACTTGAACTATAAGATTGAAGAAGATAGAAGTTACAAGTTAGACTAGAACAGTGGTGGCGAACCTATGGCATGGGTGCCAGAGGCGGCACTCAGAGCCCTCTCTATGGGCACACGCGCCGTCACCCCGGTCCTAGGCCTTCAGCTGGGTTTTATAAAACATTTTCGCTTTAGGCCTCCACCGCCGTGTGCAAAAAAAAAAAGAGGTTCAATCAATCAATTTCAACTTCTCGTGGGAAAAAAAAAGATCTTGCAAAGTTGGAATTGATTGATTGAACTTTTTAGTCCCCCCCCCATCTGCTGTTACCACCGCAGCCACGCCCACCCAATGGGCCACACACACCCACGCAGCCACGCCCACCCAATGGGCCACACACACCCAGCCAATGGGCCACACACACCCAGCACCCAACGATGCATAAATTGGTTTTGGGTTGCAAAAGGTTCGCCATCACTGGACTAGAAGATCTCCAAGGTTTCCTCCAACTCTGTTATTCTGTACAGCAGTGTTTTTCAACCTTGACAATTTTAAGGCATGTGGACTTCAACTCCCAGAATTCCACAGCCAGCATTGCTGGCTGTGGAATTCTGGGAGTTGAAGTCCACATGCCTTAAAATTGTCAAGGTTGAGAAACACTGCTGTACAGTATTCTGAAAACTGGTTCAGCAAAACCAAAACAGTCTTTTTGCATTTTGAAACCTAACTAACTCGATTTTACTACCACCTATTTTATTTACAAGCCACTTCCGGACAGCTGTTTCCTTCTCAGGAGGCAGCCCCGCTGCACGCTCCCTCGGATGTTAAGTTACTTCCAAGTGAACGCGCAAAAAAAGATGCTTCGGCTGCCCCCTCCGCCTGCGCGGGGGACGCTCGAACTGTGTCGCCACAATCGGGCAAACGCGGAGGACGGTTGCGCCCCCGGACTCTTTCTCGGGTCGCAGCCGCCGCTTCTTGCAGAGGGCGATCCCCACCCACGTGCAGCGCCCCCTCACCTCTCAGGCTGCCCGGGGCTGGGCCGGCGGGGCGGTAGCAAGAAGGCTGGCGGCAGCCGAAGAGGAAGAGGGTCCTGTGGAAGGCCTCGGGCCGCTCTTGCACCGGCGCGTAGAGCTGCAAGAGGAACGCGCACGGCTGCCCGCACACGCCGCACCGCAGCTCAGAGGGCCCCGGCAAGCCGGCCTCGCCCAGCCAAGCCGGCCTGCCCCCGGCCTTGCAAGGGAACTGGTCACTGCGCAGCCGCCAAGGTGCCGCTTCTTCCACGAAGCCCAGCTCGACCTGCTGCGAGCACATTTTCTTTTTCCAGCAATCGGCAACAGCCGCTTCCAGAAGCGGCGGAAGATGTCAGTAGCCGGGCAAGTCTGCGGCGAGAGGAGCGAGCGCCTCTAGCGGGGCGGCGGATTCTCTGACCCGTCCGGGTCCCCGCTGCACTTGGCAGTCGGTTCCCGGTTCAGGATAGAGCAGGGGTCCTCAACCTTGGCAACTTTAAGACTTGTGGACTTCAACTCCCAGAATTCCTCAGCCAGCAAAGCTAAAATTCTGGGAGTTGAAGTCCACAAGTCTTAAAGTTGCCAAGGTTGAGGACCCCTGGGATAGAGGAGGTGTGACCATTTTACGATTTGTGGACTTTAAGTCCCAGAATTCCTGAGTCAGCACGGCTTGGCTCAGGAATTCTGGGACTTTATAAGTCCACAGGTCGTAAAGTTGCCCTGGCATAAAGGAAGGCTCCGCTCTGTACTGAGAGCAGTTTCCAAATCAAGTCTGAAAGACGACGGCACGTCCCATAGATCGGACTTGTGAATTGCGCAATCAGTTCGATACAGGGACTTTTGCTTTCTGATTCTATCTTCCAACTCGGATAGTTTTTGGAGGGGGAAGGAAGACGGTCTTCTCGCTGCGAAAGCACATGGTCTTCCGTTCATGCAGAGTGGATTCTGCGATCACTGAGTCTTGAGGCAGAGTTTTTGGGATCATGATGTTGCCTAGTCGAGTAATGAAAGGTCTGCAAGAAAACAACCCAGAGAGAGAGCACTCAGGATCCCGCAGTTGTTAAGATCATCCTAACACCAACTGTGCGATTTAATCAGTGTGAATTCTTTTGCAGTTCTATTTACATCCCATTTTTTAAAAGCATAAAATTTTACAGTCAGAGGTAGCCCCGGCCAAAAAACAGGAAGCAACACTTTTTAGTATAGTAAAAGGCGTACAGTAGGTTTTCATGAGCTACAGTTCACTTCATCAGACAGCTTGCTTAAGTTATAAAAACTATTATCAGAGTCCTTCCCAAAAATATAGTTTTCAAATTCCTGAGTGTAAATGTTGCCCTTATATCTGTAGGTATGGGAAATAAAGGTAGTACAATAGCAAAGGTGGCCACTTGTTTTTCTTTTGAATGGAAGTAAAATAATGTTTATTTACCTTTCGAATAAAGTTGAGGCTAAAAAAATGTTCCAAGATGAGCAGCAGCTCAGAGGCAGGAGCCTGGCTGGCCTCTTTTACATTTGCCTTGTTACCAGTTGGGAGAGCAAAGTATTGATGCTGCAGACTGCCCTGCTCAGTCTTCAGCATTTCAAGCCCGATTCTATGAAAGCTTCGCTGTAATTCTGTGTCAATTTTAAATTGTTTATGAGGACTGGAGTGAGAACTGGGGAACTGAAACAGCATGGAACTTTGGGGGCTTGCAGTATTTTTTTCACAAAGGACCTGGAATGTGCTACTTCCCCCCCTCTCCCCCAATATTTAGAATTCTATTTACTCAGGCTTATAGTGTGGGGTCCTTGGTGATTTCTGAACTTGGTTATTTTCTTGCAGACATTTCATTACCCAACCAGGTAACATCGTCAGTACTAGAAAAGAATGAGGTTTGTTCTCTCTATATATGTGTGGCCTGCCCTGTCAGTGTTGGTGGGATTGTTTTTGGTGGTTCCTTGATTAAGCTGTTGTTAACAGTTTGATTCTTTGTGTTGGTAGTTTCTTTCTTGGGATATTGTTTACTACTTGATTGTTGGTTAGTATTGATCTTGTTCATCTCTGCTAATCTGGGTGTTGATTGCTGCCAAGTAGATGTTGTGGTCTTTTAACTTTTTGATTGCTTTGAATGGTATGTAGGTGTTTATCTGTGTGTGCCTGTTGATGAGTGGCAGGCATCCAGGAATTCTCTAGTGTTTTTGGACCTAATTTAGTCTAGGATGCTCATGGTTTCCCAGTTGAAACTACGGTGAAGTCTACCAATTTCTTGTGCAATTAAGGAGTTTTCATCATATCTTCTGCCAGTTGGTGTTCATGGATGTGCTTAGCTAATCTATCTTACATAATTGCTGTAATAGCCCTTATATTGTATGTTGTAGATGACTCTTGTTTTTATTTTTGAAGTTATTGAGTCTTTTGGTTTACTTAAGACATTTTAGGGGACTTTAGTTGGTTTGTGTACTATGGTTGTAATACTATGTTGGTTGTTTCTGAGATGTTTTTGATGTATGGCAGTGATATCCTTTTCATGGCTTCTGTTGGTTGTGCTGTAGTGGGCTAAGGGGTCAGGCATGTTTTGATAAGTTGCGTGGGTATTTATTTTATTGGAAGGTGTTATATAGATGATCTGTTTCCTTTTTCTGACATCCAGGCTTGCTGCAGTGTGTTTATGCTTGTCTGAATAATGTCCTTACACAGCTTCTCTTTTGGGAGGTTGGATTGTTATTTTCTAGTGACACACTTGCTTAGTATGGGTGGTTTTATGATAGACTTATGTTTCTAATTTGCAGTCATTGCCTTTGCTGATGGCAATATCCAGGAATTTTAGTCCTGTGAAGATGTTGCTGATGGCTTCATGTGTCTTCTCTAATTGTTCCTTTTTTATGAAAAAGGGGTCATCTAGTTCTGCCATGGATTCTTTCACTAATTCTGGGTCTATGGATATTAAGAGTTACAGGAGGCATGATGGTTCTAAGCAGAAATCGAACAGGAGAGGACAGCTGATAGTGATCTGACCTACCATTGTGATGTGTTCCACTTTTGAAACCTAACAGCAAGGAAAGAAAAAAAAAATGCCATGCACATTTAAGACTATGTGCAACAACCGAGAACAGCAAGTAGCACACATTCCTCCTGTGTTAGTTTTTAATATTCCAAGAGATGCAAATACCACCTTTTAAAAATCAGTTACATCATTAACATTTTGTCGGAATTAATTTCCACGAAACAGATTAATCTCTTCATAAATACAATGGCAATAATATTTTTCTTTAAATATTGCTTTCAACTTTATATAACCTTGGCTTACTTTTTTTTTCACAGCCACAAAATTACATATAAAAACAATCATTTTGTTATCATGACAAACATTTCAGATATCACCTTATTAATCAATATTAATATCTGGCTGAAAGAGGGAGTCAGATGATATTTGCTGAAGGGAATTTGAATTTGAATGTACAAAGACTCCTAAGCATTAATGCTGATAAAGGTCCTTAAGTGATGGTGTAAACAGTTTGACTTCTGGAATTCTTCCCCACCACTGTGTAGCAAAAACATGTCAAGGTGGAAAGGGTATTTTGTAGTCTTCAATAATATTTTCCCCACTTGCGCCTCATTTCCAACCGGGCTCCACCGTTAACAGTGGACGTAAGACAAGCCATTCTAGCCTTCTCCAGTTAAAGCCTTGCAGCCATTGCGTTCCTTACAGGTATCCTAGATTCTAAAAAAGAAGGAATATAGTCTGCCAACAATTCTGAGCACAGAGAAAGAAAGATCACAAGAAACATTCCAAAGTTTTTATAGAAATAGTGCACATTGTTTTAAGTATGCATCTGAGAGAGACAGAAATATTTAATAAACTGAAATAAATTGTCAGAAGTGGTGACATTTTAGGTATCCAGTCTGATAAATTATGGGGAATCACAAATAATCATGAACAAATACACTTTTGTCTAGGAGAATGTATTTTCTTTATTCTTGTCTTTAACTGTTTCTGTTAATAATGGTTGATTTAATAACATCCACTGAAACCACAATAAAGCTCCATTTCATTACAACTACTGAAAACAGATTATTTTAATACTGTACTTTGAGAATTGTAAAAATACAAAAATATAATACATTCTGCTTCCTGCTTTGAAAAACGTAAGAGGCATACATAAGTTCCCTTACTCTATAGGATCAAATATTAATCCACTGTGAACAGTGTACAATAAGAAGCTAACTTTTACTGAACCAGAAAGTATTAGTTCATTTAAATTAGTATTCTGCCTGCTAGTGTATGATAGGAAGTAGATTTCCAAGATTTTATTTGGACTTTTCCCAGCTAAGACAAAAGCTTACAATTAAAAAAATATATTCATAGCATGTAAATCCTCTATAGCTGGACAGAGACCTAAAAGTTCCTCCAGAATTTCTAGAATTCTTGATCACTGCTAAGATCATTAGCATTTTTTAATTGTTATCCGTCACTACCATTATCAAGTCTATGAACTGTTTACCTGTTTTATCATGGAAGTCAAGTACTATTATAAAAATGGAATCATCTACCCAAATTTTGAATTGTAATAAGTAGCCAATGTAGACAGAGAGGATGTTTAGCTCACACAATTGTCTCTCTCAAGGAGAAGTCTAACTTTGACTGATCTTAAATTTCCATAATGGACAGTCCCAGTTCCTTATTAACTTGTCTATTAGAATCGAAGTAATCAAGCAGCCAAAGGTGAACGTGCAGTATATCTAAGGATATTTCACAAAGTACTACTAGATCTGGGCTAAAGAAGCTTTGTTCAATATAGATAACACATCTCTTAACAATAGTCAAAGTGCCTCGTGCCACATTCTTCCTATCTGTAACATGCCAGGCTACCACAGGAACCCACTAGAGAAAGATTATTCCCTGCTTTCTGCCATCAGTTTGACAAATGGGAGTAGTAGGTTTATTACATTTTTTTAAAAAAACCCAGCACAAATTTAATGAAATTTAAGCCATTTAATGAAATGTGCAGGTAATATCCATTCCCCTGCTCCAAATTCTCTGTAATTCAATATCTCCTACTGCATTCCTTTTCAAATTGTACTATAATTTCTAACTTGCATTGTTGTTTTTATCAACAGCAAAACAAAAGTTTAAAAATCTAGACATAAAATTATCTTATGTCAAGGTTCCCATCCCCAGATTCTTATATATATCAGTTACGCAGATTTATTTATCAGGTCTTAAAATATGACCATCCCAAACTACAGGAACAGATGCAAAATACAAAGAAGGTTTTGTTTTGATGGTAAATTCCACCCATCATCTAATTGACAGGAAAGAAAAA